GGGAGGGGATGGGGAGGAACTCGCAGTACGATAAAAAAAATTGTAGTAACTCTTCCCCCTTTCATGACTCTCGCATTTAGTCATCAATGCGAGTCTGTAAGGAGATCGAATTGTTAGGTTTTAGGCAAACGAGTGGCGAAGGCGGGAGTAACTGTGGGAAACATTTCGAAATTGAGACCCCCGGCAATGCGATTTCTAGACTTATGAGGGGCACTGTTGCTTACTGATTTGTGGCATTTCTCCAGGCCCTGCAAGTAAACAGCGTTCGTCAAAATAAAGAGGTTTGAACCTTCAAAAAGTTCAAATTATTATTCATTGATGACCTCCCCTACCTCTTAAGCCCCAACACTCTCCCCCCACCCCCAATAAAAAAACGTACCTTCCCTCATCTATACCTTGAAACAACCTCTCGGCTGATCAAAACCAGGCCAAGGTTAATTGACCTAGATCGAATTGGAATTTAGCATGTTAGGTTTTGTGGAGGGAAGACTACGAATATAAAACAACTTTTTACTTATATTGTAGGTACTCTGATATTTATCGTTACTTACATTGTACAGTGACATGACGTGTGCAATAACTCCTATCACCAACACCATTATACACAGAAACCTTGTATGTCCCAGTATCTTGTCTTGAGGCTGTAAATATCAGTGTGCTATTGGCGGTCAGTCTACTTCCATTAGGATGAGTCCAGATGTACTCATAAACAGGTGGGTTTCCTGTGGTGGTGACGTTTAGTGACACGTTGTCTGTTTCATTAACTGTTATATTTTTACCAGGATATATTTCACACGACGAAGGAACTAAAATTGTTAGAAGTAATTAAAGACAAAGTCGACAGTAAAATAAAAAAAATAAAAATAAAAAAAAAGCTAAGAGATGAACTTCCCTATCCTCACTATCCCATTTCACAAAAAAACGTTTTTGCAACTTGCATTTTGCATCATCTTACATGCTGCATACTATGCTGGAAATGTATTGTGGATCACTTGTAAATAGTCAGCACAAACGAAATATGCCGGAAAAACGTGCTGAAATAGTTTGGGAAAATTCGATATTGTACTGACCGCACATATTTGTGTCGAAAAAAAACCACATCGTAATCAAGATTTATGATAAAGGTCCACACTCGTACCCGCAATTAGCCTCGAATGATTTATCCTTTTTGGCAATTTTACGTAAAGCTTTACTTTATTACGTAAAATAATACCTAAAGTACTTTGTGGTCACTTCAACATGAAACCCGTTTGGACTGACAGCGCATATTGGTGCCGAAAACCACAAACACACAAACACTATCGAAGCATAATTTCTGATGAAGGGCCATACTCGTGACCTGTAATAGGTTATGAATAATTCCCGAGTTTTTGCCGTAGGCTTTTGAATTGAATTATAACGCGTGGTTTATTAGATCTAAATTACGACACTGGTTACACAAGTAATCTATCATTCTTTTACATCAACCTTCATCATGTTATAAGCGGAAGTCGATTAAGATGAAGCAACTCAAGATTCATCGGATACTGAGGAACCAAGATGCCTTAATTTGTTTAAAATCAAGTGCTGATCTAGTCAATCAAAACTGTCCATGATGCATATATAGAGAATAAAACCTATAAGATGTCACCTTGAACTTTTCTTTCAAAAGAGCATCATGTAAGTCACTTACCGTGTTAGTCGATGGTACTTCTATACCTTAAGTAAATAAAACATTTTTCTTCTGTATAATTACTTGATTAAAATAAATATATATCACGGCTTAAATATGTGATCCGTGAACTTGTCAAGCACTTTTAACATAAGTCCCAGACTTGGGAGATTGGGCAACGACTCCCTGTGTTATTGACATTAAATAAATCATTCTTATTCTTAATCTTTATTCTTACCCGGAAGTAAACACTAGCACATTGTCGTCGAAAAAAATAAGCAAGAATTTCCTATTAAAAAATGAAGCCGCGTACATATTCAACCAGAAGGTGCGTAAACACAAAATGATAAGGATGGATATGTTCATTTAAATCGTGAAATGTAAACTTGTAGGCTTCAGAGGTCCAGAGCATCCTTTGCTTACCATCCACATTCAGCTTTGTGTTTTTTACAGAACTGTCCGGATCATCGTCGTACACAGTTATTCTGTAATACATCTCGTCAGCTTTCCTTGATAGATTACGAAGCGAGAAAGTAATATTAAGAACATTCAAATTCGCTTGAACATCTAAGTCCATGTCAGCACCTCGTTCGGGCAGCAGTAGCTCTACACCAGACGGCTTTCTTCATATCATGTCGACGTCTCCTGGACCAGCACCATCTTTAAGGCCCCTTGAGATCTTGACGGCTACCCATGTCTTACNCCTGGACCAGCACCATCTTTAAGGCCCCTTGAGATCTTGACGGCTACCCATGTCTTACCAGCACTAATACGAACACTCCAGTTGAGCTTTGCCGTGTCACCTTCCACAACATTCACTGTATCATCCGAATGTAGCCAAGTGAATGTTCCAGCATCTAGAAAACAACCGAATGTGATCTTGATCCGTAACGTGTTGTTTGTTCTTGTTTAGTCATATTATTGCTCCAACAAACCTTATTTCCTTACCTGAAGAATGGAAGAGCAGTGTAGAAAAGAAAACTATTACCAGTGATTCCATTATTGAAAAGCGGACATAAGTTAGATTTTTACGGAGTTCATGGTCTTTCAACAATAAATACATTTTTATTAAAACAAATATAGTCACTGACGTCTTCAGCGATGGTCTCGCGTCTCAACATCATATATGAAAGTGGGCTACCTGTGTAATATATTAATTAGCGCATGTAACGCAATATTATTACTAGACCCTTATATAGCTAATAGTTATCGTTGGCAACTAAATATGCATCTCACCTATCTTCGTCAAGTTGTAAGCGGAAATACAGTTATGAGAACACCGGATACTAAAGATTCAAGAGTCGAAGCCTGTTAAACATTTAGCTAAAAGCAAGAATATCTAGTCAATCAAAACTATCCATCAGGCATATACAGAATATAAGACTAGTAAGATGTATCCTTGAACTTCTATTTATAGCCAAAGATCGTGATTTACAGTGTAACCCACTGAACCTGTGAGTTGATGATATTAATTTCTATACTAGTGTATAAATAAATAATTTTTCTTTTGTAACAAATTAGTACTTGATCAGAAAATAAATATTTATCTTCATTTGTTCCCGGAAGTAAAATAATACATAGCTCAACATCGCCAAATAAACAACCTAGCAAGAATATTCTCTAATAAAATATCGCGAATGATCGATATTCACACAAACAGATCTATCATGTTTTTAGTGCGTACCTCAAAACCACATATCCATTTGAATTGTAAGACAAGCTTGTAATGTAAGCTTCACACCTCCAGACCATCCTTTACTTACCATCCACATTCAGCTTTGTGTTTTTTACAGAACTGTCCGGGTCATCGTTGTACGCAGTTATTCTGTAATACATCTCGTCAGCTTTCCTTGATAGATTACGAAGTGTAAAAGTAATATTTAGAACATTCAAATTCGCTTGAACATCTAAGTCCATGTCAGCACCTCGTTCGGGTAGCAGTATCTTTACACCAGACGGCTTTCTTCATATCATGTCGACGTCTCCTGGACCAGCACCATCTTTAAGGCCCCTTGAGATCTTGACGGCTACCCATGTCTTAC